AAAGTTGTAAATCCTTCCTTTTCAGACAACATGGGTGAACCTGGAGGACAGTATGCTGAGTAAAGCAAGACAGACAGACAAACAGAGCAGGGGCTCACTGACCGGTGGAATCTAATCGTCAGACTCAGAGACAGAGACTGGCAGAGGTCAGAGGCTGGGAAAGCGGGGGGTGGAAACAGGGAGGTGCTGGTCACGGGGAACGTTTCAGGGACTCCGACGAGCAAGCTCTGGAGGCCTGATGTGCAGCGACGTGACTACAGCTGACCACACTCTAGTGTAGACTCAGTCCTGCTCAGGGGGCAGCCCGGACGTGTCCTCACCAGACCCGCAGACCTCGGTGAGCTGCGGGAGCTGATGGACACGCTAATCAGCATGATCGTGCTGTTTCACAGGGTAAGTGTGCATCAGAACATCAAGCTCAACATCTGAAATATACAAGTCTTTGTCAGTTATCCCTCAAGAAAGCTGAAAATTTCTTTCATTTAAGTAGACCAAACATGTTGTTAGTTATTCCATGTCTAATTTAAGCCAGTCACTCCCGTGTTTAACATATGTACTGACACATGTATTTCTGAACACATGTGCATTCTCCTCCTCCACTGAAGAAAACAAGGTCCTAATTACACTCCACCTGCACCCTGGGCAGTCATGTATAGGTGTGCATGCATGCCCACCTGTGTACCTACACGTCCATGCATTTGTGGCCGTGTTTGTGTGTGCCGGTGTAATCTTCCAAAGCTCATTTGTTGGGCATGCGTTCCTCACCGTTGCATCTCACTTGCTCCTGACATCAGTTAGCATTCCTTCCAGTGTGAAAACTGTCAATATCTAAGCCCTTGCACCTCTGCCAATGCCATCTTTCACCCTCACTCTCTATCAAGCTACTTGAAAACATTTTATTTTTTAAAGACGTGTGTGACTCGGCGACGAGGAGAGGATAATACAGGTGAAGGCTAAGTGGCCCATCCTCCCACAGCCCTCCTTCTCTCTGAGGAAGCAGCAGCACGACCTGGCGGGATGAGTGGCTGAGATTCTGCCCACGCGCAGAAGTGGCGCCCGGATCCCAGGAGTCACAGACTTCCCTGTCTAATGACCCTCTCACATCAGTCCCTTACAAATGGCTTCTTGACTCAGTATAAAATTGTTCTCAATGAATTCCCTGAAGGGGTTTCTCCAGTATCCCCTGGCGTCACCTTTTTCTAGGAAGTAGTCTGGTCCCAGTGACCTTGTCATTCTCCTGATAACTGAAAAAGGTCAGTTTTCACTCCAGTCTCAATGCAGGGCAACAGCAAAGAATGCTCAACCTACTGTGCAATTGCTCTCATTTCACACACTAGCAGGGTAAGGCTCAAAATCCTTCAGTCTAGGCTTCAGCTGTACCTGAACCGAGAATGTCCAGATGTACAGGGTGGATCTAGAAAAAGGCAGAGAAACCAGACATCAAATTGCCAAACATCTGTTCGATCATAGAAAAAGCAAAGGAACTCCAGAAAAACATCTACTTCTGCTTCACTGACTACACGAAAGCCTTTGATTGTGTGGATCATAACAAACTGTAGAAAATTCTTAAAGAGTGGGAATACCAGACCATCTGACCTGCCTCCTGAGAAACCTGTATGCAGGACGAGAAGCAACACTTAGAACCAGACATGGAACAATGGACTGGCTCAGAACTGGGAAAGGGGCACGTCAAGGCTGTATAGAGCCACCCCGCTTATTTAACTTGTATGCAGAGCACATCATGCTAAATGCTGGACCGCATGAAGCACAACATGGGTTCAACATTGCTGGGAGAAATATTAGTAACCTCAGATATCAAGGTGACATCACCCTAATGGCAAAAAGCGAAGAGGAACTAAAGAGCCTCTTGATAAACCTGAAAGAGGACAGTAGAAAAGCTGGTTGGTTTAAAACTAAACATTCAAAACACTAACATCATGGCATCCAGTCCCATCGCTTCATGGCAAATAGATGGGGAAACAATGGAAGCAGTGACAGACTTTATTTTCTTGAGCTCCAAAATCACTGTAGACAGTGACTGCAGCCATAAAATTAAGATGTTTGCTCCTTGGAAGAAAAGCTATGACAAACCTCAACAGTGTAGTAAAAAGCAGAGACATTACTTGGCTGAGAAAGGTCCGTCTAATCAAGGCTGTGGTTTTTCCTATAGTCACGTATGGATGTGAGAGTTGAACTATATAGAAAGCTGAGTGACGAAGAATTGATGCTTTTGAACTGTGGTGTTGGAGAAGACTCTTGAGAGTCCCTTGGACTGCAAGATGATCAAACCAGTCCATCCTAAAGGAAATCAGTCCTGGGTGTTCAGTGGAAGGACTGATGCTGAAGCTGAAACTCCAATACCTTGGTCACCTCATGCGAAGAGGCAAGTCATTGGAAAAGACCCTGATGCTGGGAGACGTCGAGGACAGAAGAAGAAGGGGGCAAAAGAGGATGAAAGGTTGGACAGCATGACCAGCTCAATGAATAGGAGTTTGAGCAAGCTCAGGAGACAGTGATGGACAGGGAAGCCTGGCATCCTGCAGTCCATGGGGGTCACAGATTCAGACACGGCTGAGCAACTGAACAACAATGTATTTAAAATAAGCTTCCCCTTTTCCTGTTGCCTCGGACACCCCACATCTCAGCAGGCTGCTCTCCACAGCACTGTCCTCATTCGGGGGTCACGCTGAGGTCCACCCGTCTCACACTCCCCATCTATCATAGACGGAGACTTCCGGGACTGGCCTGGGAGGCAGGCTGACTGGGGGCCCCTGAAGCCACCCCGCACCCCAGAGTGCATGGTCGCAGACTCTGCCCCTGCTCAGAGCTTCGCTCAGGATGGGCCGTGGGGGCCCCGCAGCCTCCCTCAGGGGGACGCCGCGGCTGACAGCAAGGGACCACGTGTGTTTCCTACCACACGTGGGGGGCTCCGCGGTGCTGGCCGAGGCCTGAGGCCGTGAGCGGAGGGCTCCCAGTGCCCGCCAGACACCGCGGGAGCGGGGCTCCAGCTGCCAGCCTCCATCGGAGCCCTGAGCCTCCCTGCCTGTGACGATGGGTCCCTCTCTGTGTCCACACGGGTGGAAACCTCCTCCCTCTGACCCTGAGCACATTCCGGCCGCCGGGGCCACACCGCCTACCTCTCCCCGCTTTGCTGTGGTTCCCTCTCCATTTGGGGAACTTCTCTTCTGCACTTGTCTGTGGTTTCGTGTTGCAGAAACACTCTCTGGAGCAGGTTTCAGCATCAGGAGCAGAGGAGGCTCTGGGTGGGCACCACACTCGCCCCCTTGGGTGCAGTCTGAGCCAGGAGCCCACCACGTCCACCCTCTCCTGTCACCTCATCTGGAAATGAACCGTGATGACGGCAGCAAGAGCCCACAGCCCCTCTGAGGGCTGGGGTTCAGGACAACATGCAGGGGAGGAAGCTCAGGCGCAGAGAAAGGGCACCGTCGCTCAACGTCCCATGAGCAGCGGGCACATGTTTATAGGAACATCTGTTCCCACCAGAGTGAGAGCTCTGACCCCAATCAACACCCCCGAAAGCCTGCAGGTGATGGCAAGACCAGAGGAGCCTGTGCCCAAGGACCCCGGGGCCCCGAGGAGGCAGGAAGCCCGCGGGGGCTTGTTCCCAGGAAGGCGGGCTGGACAGTGATGGGGTAAAGAGAGACGCCCCTGAAGGGGGCTGTGATGGGGGGATCCCCACTCTGGGGCAGGGGAGGAGTCAGTTTCCTTCCTGATTCCCTGCGCGTCTCCTCTGGGCTCTCGGCCATGCAGACTCCACTGAGCCCAGGGAGATGTTGACCTGTGTCTCTGGGGATCTGAGCCCTGTGGGCAGCAGGAGCCGGCATCCTTCCCAAAGCATCTCCAGGGCCTGGTGACCCGTCCATGGCGAGGACCCCACGGGGACCTGCTGATGGACGGGCAGAGGGGGAAGCAGACCCCGAGGCGAGGCTCTCAGAGGGAAGGCCATGCCCTGGACATCCTCCCCTGGAAGGGGTGTCTCAGGAACACACTGGGACTGTCACGGGAACGAGACCAGGTTCTCATGAAGAGGCAGTTCCCCTTCCCGTGGGGATGCTGATATGATGTGAAGCCCCAGCCCCAGAGAGGACACACCCTGTGGTCTGTCCGGAGGGCACCCAGGTCTCCTCCATCCTCACGGCCTGGACCGCAGGGAGGAGACGCCATGGCCCCCACCCTCCCCGCCCTGCTCTGCCTCGGTGAGATGAGGAGGGGCAGGGGGAGCCCTGGACTGGAGGGACCCCCCCAGCCAGCCTGCTCCATCAGGGGACCCCAGGGCCCAGGAGGCTCCCGGGGACGAGAGGCACTGCTCAGAGCTGAGGGCAGACCTCTCACAGGGCTCTCTCTTCCAGGGCTGAGTGTGGGCCTGAGGACCCAGGTGCAGGCTGGTGAGTCTGTCCCCAGGGCCCAGCTCCCTCCTCTCGTGGGGACAAGGGTCACCCCCAGGCCACAGGGAGGGGGACAGCAGCTCGGGGCTCATGGAGGGGGAGTCTGGGAGGCCTGGGCTGAGAGCCGGGGCCTGGGGACGGGGGGCACCTGGTGAGCCCACTCTGATTTCCTTCCAGGGACCTTCCCCAAACCCATCATCTGGGCTGAGCCGGGCTCTGTGGTCCCCTGGGGGAGCCCCGTGACCATCTGGTGTCAGGGGCCCCTGGGGGTCCAGGAGTTCTGTCTGGATAAAGAGGGAAGCTCAGTCCCCTGGGACAGACCAAAACCCCTGGAGCCAGGGTACAAGTCCAAGTTCTCCATCCAACACATGGGACAGGACCATGCAGGGCGCTATTGGTGCTACTATCTCAGGGGAACTGGCTGGTCAGAGGGCAGTGACCCCATGGGGCTGGTGGTGACAGGTGAGAGACTCTCGGGGGCCTCAGGCTCTGCCCTCGGGAGGGGGTCTGCTCTCAGGGGGTGTCCCTCTCACAGCCCAGCCCTGAGGGGCAAGGGGGGAGCCCCAGGGATCCAGGTGCCTCCTTCTCTCCTAGGATCGCACGGCAAACCCAGCCTCTCAGCCCTGCCGAGCCCTGTGGTGACCTCGGGAGGGAACGTGACCCTGCAGTGTGGCTCCCACTGGGGATTTAACAGGTTCCTTCTGACCAAGGAAGGAGACGAGTCCTCTCGGACCCTGGATGGACAGCAGAGCCCCGACGGGCAGACCCAGGCCCTGTTCCCCGTGGGCCCCGTGAGCCCCGGACACGGGTGGACGTTCAGATGCTACGGCTTTAACAGGGACACCCCCCGGGTGTGGTCGGCCCCCAGCGACCCCCTGAAGCTCCTGGTCTCAAGTGAGGAAGTCCCGACCTGACCCCACATTTGTGCAGACAAGACAACGTACTCCGGTCTCTGCTCCCAGGGGAGCCCCTGTGAGGGGGGTAGTGAGCGTGGTGCTCACAGGACAGACACACAGACAGAGACGGCGAGGCCTGGGGCTGGGCCGGGAAGGGCGTCCACGCGGGATGCGGCCCCAACAACCCGGCGCCTGTCTCTCCCCAGGGCTGTCTGGGAAGCCGTCCCTCCTGACCCCGCAGGGCCCTGTCGTCACCTCTGGACAGAACCTGACCCTTCAGTGTCGCTGTGACATGGGCTATGCCAGATTCGCTCTGTCCAAGGAGGGGGGCCGGGACCTCCCCCAGCGCCCTGCCTGGAGGGCCCAGGGGGGTCTCTCTCAGGCCGACTTCCCCCTGGGCCCGGTGGGCACCGTCCATGGGGGCCGGTACAGATGCTACGGTGGACACGGCCTCTCCTCTGAGTGGTCAGCCCCCAGCGACCCCCTGGAGCTCCTGGTGGCAAGAGAGGAGCCAGCGGGTCAGTCGGGGGCCAGACTCTGCACAGGCCCCACCGGGGAGCCCCAGGGGTGATGCTGGGACCAGGGGGAGGGGTCCCAGGAAGGGGACAGCGAGACGGGGTGGGGGAGGGGGAGAATGGAGAAAGAGACGGCGCTGAGGGTCCAGAGAGGCCGCGGAGTCCCGCTCAGAACCAGGGCCGGGCCCGCACCCCCTTCCTCTCTGCAGGATGGCTCAGAGACAGACCCTCCCTCTCAGCACGGCCGGGCCCCTCGGTGGCCCCGGGGGAGAACGTGACCCTGCTGTGTCAGTCAGGAGACTGGACGGACACCTTCCTTCTGTCCCAGGAGGGGGCAGCCCATCGCCCCCTGCGTCTGCGCTCAACGTACCAAGACGGGCGGTTCCAGGCCGAGTTCTCCTTGAGTCCTGTGAGCTCCGCCCACGGGGGCACCTACAGGTGTTATCGCGCACTCGGCACAGAGCCCCATCTGCTGTCACGGCCCAGCGAGCCCCTGGCGCTCCTGGTCTCAGGTGAGGCCCCGTCTGTCCGTCTGACTCAGCAGCTCGGGCTCTGTGCCCTGGGAGGCCCCGGAGGTCCTGGAGGAGGGGGAGCTGAGGGAGGGGTCCCCCGAGGGAGGGGCCTCGGAGCTCACGCCCCACCCCTTCCTCACTGGGGTCCCGGAGGGGCAGGGAGTCAGTGGCAGGGTCTCAGGGAGGCCACAGGGCCATGCAGGGCAGAGGGGGGTGAGGTGGGGACCCCGGGTCAGCCCGGCGCACCCCTTCCTGGGCTCATTCCCTGGGCCCCATTCTCCCAGCCACAGACCCAGATCAGAACCTGGGGAGTCTCGGGGCTCAGTGCTCGGGGGAGACAGCCCACCCCAGGGCACTTTGAGATTCTCTGGGGGGACAAGGCCCCTCAGATTGTCATGGGCCGGCGGGGAGTTGGGCAGAGACGGCTCGGGAGCCACAGGCTGCAGGGGCTGAGGCTGTGGGATGGGGGGGGGTCAGTCTGGGGAGGAGCAGGCCCGCCCCCACCCCATCCTGCCCCCGGGAGGCTCCCCGAGGAGGACACGGCCCACCCACGGCCTCCCTTCAGGACCCTCGGGCCCCCGACACCCTCCTCCATCACCGAGGTCAGACCCAGAGTGAGGACCAGGACAGCGTCCCCGTCAGGGGCTGGGCTCGGGGCCGCGTCCTCTCCCGGGAGGCGGGTGCCTGTGCCGGCGCTGACCTGTGCGCCCTCACCCCAGACTATAGGGTGCAGAATCTCATCCGGATGGGCCTTGCGGCCTCGGTCCTCCTGCTCCTCGGGGTCCTGCTCTGCCAGGCTCGGCACAACCGCAGAGGATCCCGAGATGCGGCCCGGAGCTGAGCACAGGGCCCCTCGGCACCTTCCAGAGCGCCCCAGCCCCTGACGCGAGTGTCCGGCCCGGGAGCTTAGGAAAGAGCCTCTGACCACACGGGAGAGACGCTCCACGGGAGTAGGAGGAGGCTCGGGCATCCTGGGGAGGGTGGCCTGGGGGCTCGGCCTCCACTCACAGGGCTCCCACCCTCCCTCCCGGGGAGGACGCCCCGACTCCCGGCTCCTCCCACTCCCGGCCCGAGGCGCATCCCAGTGGCAGGGGCAGGTCCTCACCCTGCAGGCCCGCAGCCTCTGTCTGCTCTCCTGGACGACGTGAGCCTCATTGTTCAGGCCCGCCGTCTCCGGTGGGCGCAATGACCTCCATCCCTTCTCAGAAACAGAATGTCGTTTAAGTAACTGATTAAATGGGTGAAAGCGGGGCCCCGTTTGGAACAGATGGATCCAGAACATTTCCCTGAACCCCCTGGGCCCCTCAAGCCCTCCTCTCCTCATCAGATGACACCCGTGTAGTTTCTCCAGAAACACCGTCAGTGCGATGGGATCCCTGGCGCTAGAAGTGACAGTCAGGGCTACGCTGGTAAATGAGCTCAGGAATATATCGTTTTGTAAAGAGCGCTGATATGGGGTTTCCCTGGTGGTGAAGAATCTGGCAGCCAACGCAGGAGACGCAGGTTCAATCCGTGATCCTGGGGGATCCCACATGCCAAGGCGCAACTGGGTCCGTGAGCCGCAGTGACTGAGGCTGGCACGTCCTGGAGCCCGCGCGCAGCCAGAGAGGCCAGTGCTGCAGATGCCCAGATGCCTCAGCGAGGGAGCAGCCCCGCTCATCACAACCAGACACACCCCTGTGCACACAGACCCAGCACAGAAACAATCATCAGGCAATAAATTCTTAAAGAGCCCAGGCGTGTGAACTGTGTGTCTGCTTTGGTGCAAACGCGCTCCGTGGCCAACCTCCAGGAGCCCGGGTGAATGGGCTAAATGCCGGGTGGGAAGGAAGGAGCAGGCTGGCTTTCCCAGAGGAGCGAGTCTGGTCCAGCCAGCCCCCACCGATGGCCCCAGGCGCACAGATGTGTCCTTTGCAGTACGCGTCACATAGGATGGTCTCCACCTCAGTTTCATGCCCCAGGTTCCCTGAGATGAGATGCCCACCTCCTAGTTCATCTGTGAGAGAGGGGAGGAGAAAACGATGGAGGAGACAAGGCTGACTCTGACGAATCCCGCACATCACGGGCAGGTGTACTCATCACCCTGCTCAACCTGGAGAGTCGGCAGCAATTCTCAGTGAAAAGCAGAGACACAGCACTGGTCCACACTTGCATAACCTAGAGGAAGATGCGTGCACAGCCACGAGGGTGCAAGCAGAATGTGGACATGTGGGTTGTTCCCAGTAGAAAAGGTTACAGAAATCACTTTCACCAAAATGAATGGTTTGGTGTATATATCTGCAACAGAATTTTAAACAAAAAATTCACAAAAGTGGACTGCTAGAGTAACACAGGTCAGTTTTCAAGCATAATGGTGAATAAGTGAAATGAAACTGTAGGAGTCCATCTCATCACATCAAATTCAAAAGGCAACAACATGGGACTCAAATAAATAAAATAAGAAATGAAACAGGAGGAACGACAGCTGCTACCAGGTTGCCCTGGTGGCTTGGTGGGTAAGAATCCAGCCGCCAACGCAGGGGACGTGGGTTCCACCCCTGCTGGGAGAAGATCTCACACAGGCCACAAATGCTGAGCCTGTGGGCCCACAGACGTGCCCTGTGACAAGACACGCCATTAAAACGAGGAGCCCAGGCAGCGCAGGCAAGACAAAAGCTTCGCTGAGATCAGCACGACGTGGGAAAAGCCCCTGGGCCGCAGGAAGACCCAGCACTGTCCTCTTTCGCTCAGGTGTGTCCGACTCTCTGCGACCCCATGGACTGTAGCCCCCAGGCTCCTCTGTCAGTGAGATTCTCCAGGCGAGAATACTGCAGTGGGTTGCCCTGCCCTCCTTCAGGGGATCTTCCCAACCCAGGGATCAACCTACATCTCCTGCACTGGCAGGCAGATTCTTTACCCCTGAGCCGCCTGGGAGGCCCGCGTGCAGCCTACCATCACTGCATTTCCCTCAACAGAAACGGCGCCAGACGCCTGCCTCCTCTTCTCGTTCCTTCCCTGTGTGTGCATGCAGGCTGTCAGGACTTCCCAGCTGGCACTGCTGGTGAGGAACCCACCTGGCGGTGCAGGATACATGAGAGACCTGGGTTCCGTCCCGGGGTGGGGACGATCCCCTGCAGGAGGGCGTGGCAACCCCCTCCAGCATTCCTGCCTGGAGAGTCCCAAGGACAGAGGAGCCTGACGGGCTGCAGTCCACGGGGTCGCAGAGAGGCGGACACGGCTGAGCGACGTAGCACACATACGAGTTAACTATCGTTTCTATTTTCCATTTCTGGCCTCACTATGACACATTTCAGAAATTTTAATCAGCGCTTTACGCAAGATGGCAGATCGGGAACTCCCAGCCCTCATCTCGCACAGACACACTCATAAACCGGGATTATTTGGGCCAAAAGACTTTTATGCAAACTGCAGAATCCAGCTAGTGAGCTGCAACATATCGGATGAGCAGAAAACCGAAAAGAACCACTTGGAAAGCATAAACAGAGCAGGTTCTGTGTCCCGGTCTCCCCTCCAGCAAGCAGAGCTCAGCGCTGAGAGGACCCCCCTGGGCCCAGGCCCCATCCACCCTGGGAGGACAGTGGGTGCAGCCACAGCACGTCCCCAGGCTCCGCGGCACTGCAGACCTCAGGCCTCAGAGACCGCCTCGCTGCTCAACTCATGAGTGCTCCAGGCCGCAGACACGCATGGGGCTGCAAAGCAGGAAGAGAAGGGACGGGGCTCTGCGCGGCCAGCTCGGCCTCGGGGGTTAGAGGAGGACGGGGTCCTCAGACTTCTCCCTCAGGGCAGGGGCACGACGCCACGGGGGCACACCATCGTCTCCCCAGACGGGAGGGCCGGGGAGCCGCAGGTCCACAGAAGACGTCTCCGAGGCTCCAGCATCCCTAACTGGGCTCAGGCAAAATCCCACCATAAGTCCAAGAGGAGGCGGCTGCTTCTCCCAGCGCACAGACACCAAAGCAGAGCCACAGAAA